CATGTACATGTACATGCATAATACATCTAATCAATACAATTTCGATACTACAATGAAAATAGTATTACCATAAATTAAAAGAGGATGCTTGCAAGGCACCACCAATAAAAAAGACTACTCCTCCCACAATGATTGATAGCTTCCGACCAATTGGATCAGACAATGCTACAAAATAATGACGCACATGTCACATGATTATCACATGATCTGTAGTGTACCTCCAGAGACTAAAGCACCAATGAAACAACCAATGGAAAATAAGGACACTACTAGGCCCTGTATAAGAATAGAGAGGAGAGGGGGAGAAGAGAGAAAGAGAGAGAGGGAAAGGGAGAGATGTGTAAAAGGTATGAGAATGGAGAAAATAAAAGAGAGGGAAGGAGAAGAGAAAATGGAAGTGTATAGATCATGATATATTACCAAAATTTACCATCAATTAATATATAATGTAGCAGGCAATTTTGGAGATGTTCAATTTTGTAGCTCTTAATTTGCTGCTGAAATCATAGAGTTTTATTTTAGAAATATGACCCAATTTGGTAAATACGCAAAATTTTACCCACTCCAAAACTGCCCCCAACACACGTAGCATCGTCCAAATCTGAACTCTCTCTCTCTCCATTAGACTAACCAGTAGTGCGTTCTCGTTGGTGTCTGTACCCCCACAGTTAAGTGACCCATTGCTCTGTTCATCCTTTACCAATGACAGGTTCATTGTACGGCGGAATCCATCCATATCCTTGACTCCATTAATGACACTAATCACATGACAGTACGAATAGATTGTGAGAGAGGTACATGTATCATAATGAATTATTTAATTATTTTAGGCAATAAAGACTGAAATAAGATGCTCGCTCCCGCAAGTACATAAATGAAGACTTTTTCTAGCTTACCCAATGTCATATCCAAACATGAATCCGCCAAAAGCTGCAAAACAAGCCAAAAACACAACAAGGACTTGCATCTTCATTCTTGTTGTGTTGGCAGAAATGGGTGGTGCTACAATGACCCCGCCCATTGGCAATGAGTAGTAAATGCGTGGGCGTACAAGCATATTGACACTATTGGCAGTAGACTGTGTACTCTTGGTATGTAATTGGTTTTAGATTTTATATCATTCATGTTGTTGTATATAACAAAATTTATTGAATATGAAAGTGTGTGTTCTAAATTTAAAGAGAGTAGATCTAGTAGATCCCAGAGAAATTGGGGATTATTTTTATTTTATCAACCGACCCAAATAGGTCAAAGGAGGTCGGATTGGTGGAAATATACATGAACCCAAGCGTTCTTTATAAGGTAGTGACTAATTGATTGAAAATTGACTATTGATGGCATGATAATATTTATGGTAGTCTCTGTATTAAATTACTGATAGAGTAACACCCACAATCCTGGCATTACAGCATTTATGATCTATGATTTCTCATAAAGCTTGCATTATATTGATTATTGTTTACTTTGTTATTTTATTTAATTTTCCAAATAAATGTACCAAA